CAGCGCAGCCCAAGCGCAGTCGCTGCTTACTGCGCAGTTAGCAGAGCGCAGGCGCCTGAGGGTGGATGCTTGTGTAATGCCTCCTTAAGGAGGCGTATGCAATTAACAGAGCAGCCGAAATTTGCATATCGACGTGTAGTTCCAGTAGGTGTACGTGGCAGACCCCACAAAGCATATATATTTTTATCAGGGTGTCGAGCTGAATCGATTTAGCCCTGTCTGTCTGTCCGTCCGTCCGTCCGTATGTATGAACCCGTCGATCTCAGAGGATATAAATTTGTTTTCCTAGGTCCGTGTATATGACGCGCACATCTAGTTTTTATCTAAAAATCGATAACTATTTCAGATATTTGTTTATCGATTAAAAAACCTATCGAAAGCGAGTTTTTAATTATAACTCCTACAACTTAAGAGCTAGAGCTTCCAAACGTAAAATGTTTGCTTATGTGTATTATGTATAATTTCGGGTTTTTTTTGTAGTTTACCCCCTACTCCTCTTGTTTCGGCAGATTTCGGCAGCCAATTTTTTATGAATCTTGATGATACATTTCTTAACACGTGTGTATAAACCAAAGTAGCGAAATAGCCGGAAATCAAAAGATTTACTTTAGGCATAAAAAGGGACGAGTTGAGTTTTCTGGAAAACTGGCAGCCCAGGTGCCAACATAATTAGCCCAATGCACAGCACCTCGAAGAGAAAACCAGCTCCGTTGAGAAGATCAATCCGCTGTGACTTATAGAATAAGTGATCAGCTGTATGATTAGGGGTATGTTCCCACTATTAGTAGACATTAAAATTCCAGGGTGATTGTCAGTAATCGTCTGGGCGATGATTGCAGTGATGACAGTTGAATAGTCTGAAATCCGCGATTTAAGCACGAGATCGAGTATGCTTTAATTTAGAAGCTGGCATCTCCAAACTGCAGTAAGCGACTTTCTTTTTGGAAACTATAGCTGATTTTCGAAGGGAAAGGTGAGTCTAAGAGTACACGACACGGAACGGATGTTCCAGCTCGGTTCTTGACAAAAATTACAGCAGTGGATAAAAGCAAAGCATCTGATGAGAAAGAAGGTGACATAGAAACCATGGACAAGTGCGGCAGGTACTATATTTGGAATCATTCAACAGATGTCACTTTCTTAGGCAATTTAGGCACAGAGCGAGTTTCTTGGCCTCCTTTTATCATGCAATGGGTGGCAATTGCTCAAAGCACTTACTTTGTGAAAGCAAAAGACACTACGAATGGGAGTCTTGGAAGCAGCAAATGTGTACTCACGATCTTCCCTGACTTGCCAATCTGACCATTCTGCAATGATCCACATTTTCAAGCATTCGACACTTCTCTTACAAGAACATTGACAACTTAGCCCACGATGGTAGCTTATTAGCTGATGAGCGTTCCTCCTATTTGGCCTGGTGTACTTATCCAATTTCTTCAACACTGTTTGCACGATGATACAATCAGCATTCTCTTCCCACGATGCAAGAGAATCCATAGCACGAATATGAGAAGTAACTTTATCCGATGCATCAGCCTTCTCAAGCCCATCGCAGAACCACTTAAGCAGGCACTTCTCAATAGGGCTTAGATCAGGATCAGAATCTTTGATAGTTTTGAGCATAGTGAAAAACTTTTCCCACTCAGTATATACTCCACTAAATTTTAGCAATCCAACTGCGACAAACGCGACCGATTTGCCATAACGAGCACTGGCTTCACTGTTTCACGTTGAAGCAAGGCCTTAAACTTCTGTAGAATTGATTCAAATTTAACATGTAAGTTAGTATGAGCCGCATCGAAATTCGACTCTAGTTTGGTGATGAGTCCAAGAAATGAACACACAGAACATGAAACGGAGTATGCAAAGAATAATCCGTAGAGCACATAGGTAAATTAAACGGAAGAGCAAGTAAAAACGTTGTAATTGGGCGTTACCGACTGCGCAATAGTCATTCACACCCCATCAGAAATTCAGTAGATAAGTTTTGCTCTAGCATTGTAGAAAATCCAGTTTTTCTATTTGCCACGATTTTCCACGCCCCTACTCGACGTAGACACTTCATTTTTGCCCAGCTCATGGAAGAACCTAACCAGCTAATCGTAACCGTAATCTGGATGCTTACGCTCCAAAAATGAATAAATTACAGGGCATTTTTTGATATGCCACGTCCCTAAAGAGGCGCAACAATATTAGATCGCTAGAAGAAATTACTAGTAACCTAACTTTCCAAATTTGAAGCTTCTAGCTCTCACACTTTAGGAGATATTTTTTTTTGCGGTTTGCCACACCCCCTGTGGGCGGGTATACATATATGCAATAAAGCTTTTTGGTCTTGGGAGGTCAGCCCGAGTATATAACAGAATTTGAAAAATCACTATATCTTCAGGTCCGATTGCCACGTTTCTAAAAAGCGTAGATATATAATTTTTCATCAATCTTGATAGAATCATAACATTAGCTCACGTGCAAAATTTTAACGTTCTAGCTTAAAACCTCTAGAAGATACAGTATTATCCGAGTTGCCACGCCCCCAATGGGCGTAGATATATCCGCTATAGTTTGTGATCTTGGATGGTCGACGCGGATCTACATTCCAAATTTCAGCATTCTAGCTCATCAACTAATGATTTCTGGTATATCGGAGAAAATTTTAACAATTTATAAATCAGAGATATACACGAGTATGTGCTCAAAATTTTAAACCTCTAGCTTCAATAGCGTCCAATAAACTGTGTTCATACAAACAGACTGACAGCAAGACGGACATTGCACAAACCTAATATACTCATTTAACTTTCGTGAATGAGTATAAAAACCGCAATATTGTCTACATTCCATGACAATCCTATTCAAGGCTCAAAGTTCTATAGTAAGTCCATACTGCAGTACCTCACACTCGGAAATAAGATGTTGTGTTGAGAAAATTAATCAACTCAATAATTGATCAATCCTATAAATAAATAAATTAGTAGAGTATTTTAATACTATGATTTCGTATCATATATATGACGAAAGCAAATATATCAATAAAACTATTCCAGAATACTTTTGAGTGTAGCGTTTAAGCCGGCGTAGATTGAGTCATTCATTAGAATACTATAGTTGTTTATTAAATGTAATAAAATACAAATTCTATCTTCATTTTTATAGATGAGAATTTTCAAATCGGAAGCGATGGCGGAACCGATGATTCTATGTACAGGCAGCAGCCACGATACTTTGAAAAGCTTGGTGCTCGTACTGAATACTTCTTGGAAAACATATTCACTAGATTGGGTACATTTTTCGCAACTTACCCCTGGTTAACTTTGTTTGGAGGCGCCAGTCTTGTCACATTGCTTGGATACGGAATAGTGTATGTGGAAATTACTACAGATCCAGTGCAACTTTGGGCTGCACCAAGTTCAAAATCTAGAATAGAACGAGAATATTTTGATTCTAAATTTGAACCCTTCTTTAGAATGGAGCAGGTAAGTTCCTTTAAACTTTCCCACGTAAAGATGAGCTTGTCCGTAGTCACATTTAAATTTAAATTTTGTTGCATAGGTGATAATTAAAGCCGTAGACCTACCATACATTGTGCATAATACGTCGAACGGGCCAATAAAATTTGGGCCTATATTTGCAAAGGATTTTCTGGCTAAGGTCTTAGACCTACAGCAACAGATTCAGAAGATCGAGGCGAATGGAACTTTTTTACATAATATATGTTATGCTCCATTGAAAGATGACAACACTTTGGTAGAAGCTTCTGATTGTGTTATACAATCAATTTGGGGATATTTTCAAGATGATATAAGTCGACTTGATGATAATGATGTGGATAATGGGTTCAATGTAAGTATATTAAATACTAGATATATTATAGCTCTTTAAAAAAAGATAGAATTTTTAATAAATGATCATAGTTTATAATATAACTTAAATTCACTTTATTACAGGTAACATATTTGGATGAATTGTATGACTGTATAAGTAATCCATATTTATGTTTAGCTTCTTATGGAGGACCAGTAGATCCAGCTATTGCATTAGGCGGGTTCTTAAAACATGGTGAACAACTTACAGGGTCAACAAAATATGAGCAAGCTAATGCTTTAATTTTATCCTTTTTGGTACGAAATCACCATGATAAAGGCAAGCTAGTTCAAACATTAGATTGGGAAAAAAAATTTGTTGAGTTTATGTTAAATTATATAAAATATAATAAAAGTAAATCAATGGACATAGCTTTTACAAGTGAACGATCGATTGAGGATGAATTAAATAGAGAGTCGCAATCAGACGTAATGACCGTTTTAGTATCATATATTATTATGTTCATTTATATAGCAATATCCCTCGGCCATGTACAGGAATTAAAAAGATCCCTTATTGACAGTAAAATAACATTGGGTATTGGAGGCGTTATTATAGTTTTAGCATCCGTAGTTTCATCCATTGGTATTTTTGGATATATTGGAGTACCAGCAACATTAATTATAGTTGAAGTTATTCCATTTTTAGTACTGGCAGTTGGAGTGGATAATATTTTTATCCTAGTTCAAACGTACCAAAGAGATAATCGTACAGCTAATGAAACAACGGAAAAGCAGGTGGGACGAGTTTTAGGACGCGTAGGCCCTAGTATGCTATTAACATCCGTAAGTGAGAGCTGTTGTTTTTTTCTTGGTAGCTTATCTGATATGCCTGCTGTAAAGGCTTTTGCGCTTTACGCAGGAGTTGCGCTATTAATAGACTTCTTATTACAAATAACATGTTTTGTTGGCTTGTTTACTTTGGACATAAAACGAAAAGATGAAAACCGCTTAGATATTTGTTGTTTTATCAAATGTAAAAAGTCTGATAACTTGCCAAACAATGAGGGACTCTTATATAAATTCTTTAGAAGTGTTTATGTTCCATTCCTAATGAAAAAATTTGTTCGAGTTGTTGTAATGGTTTTCTTTTTTGGTTGTCTTTGCGCTAGTATAGCCTTTGTTCCGAAAATTGATATCGGGCTAAATCAAGAACTAGCTATGCCTGAGGATAGCTTTGTTTTGCACTACTTTAAGTCCTTAAATGCGCATCTTAACATTGGTCCGCCTGTGTACTTTGTTCTTAAGGGAAATATTGATTATTCGAACAGCGTGAACCAAAATTTAGTATGTTCCGGGCGATATTGCAATGATGACAGTGTTTTAACACAAATTTACTTGGCTAGTCGTAAATCAAATTTGACATATATTGCCCGTCCAGCTTCTAGTTGGATTGACGATTACTTTGATTGGGCTTTATCGTCAAGCTGCTGCAAGTATAATCCAACGAATGGAAGTTTCTGTCCCCATCAAGGTAAGTAATAACTTTAAATCTTATTTTTTCGTTTCAATTGAAATTGTGAAATGTAAACTGCAATGAATAGTATTTATTATTATTGATTGCAGATACTTCCTGTTCAACCTGCGAAATACAGAAAAACAGCCTTCAGCGGCCCAACGAACATGAGTTTAGAAAATATCTGCCGTTTTTTTTAAAAGATAATCCAGACGATTCATGTGTAAAAGCAGGACATGCAGCGTATAATGGGGCTGTTCGGTACAGCTATGAGCAACAAAAACTCAATATAGACAGTTCATATTTTATGGCTTATCATTCAATATTAAAATCATCCAGGGACTATTTCGAAGCATTAGAATCAGCTAGAAAAATATCTGCTAATATTACACAAATGTTAAAATTTCAACTTGTCTCAAACGGATTACCAGTTGACTTAGCAATGCAAATCGAAGTTTTTCCTTATTCAGTATTTTATGTATTTTATGAACAATATTTAACAATGTGGTCAGATACTTTACAGAGCGTCGGAATTTCAATACTTTCCATATTTATAGTAACATTCATTTTGATGGGTTTTGATGTACATTCCGCCCTTGTTGTAGTAATCACTATAACAATGATAGTTGTTAACCTTGGGGGCCTTATGTATTACTGGAATATATCTCTTAATGCAGTATCCTTAGTTAATCTTGTGATGGCTATAGGAATATCTGTAGAGTTTTGTTCACATCTTGTACACAGTTTTTCATTATCAAAAGAATTGAATCAAATTAAAAGGGCTACCGATAGTTTATCACAGATGGGTAGCTCGATATTTTCTGGTATAACTCTTACAAAGTTTGCGGGAATATTAGTCCTAGCTTTTGCAAAAAGTCAAATTTTTCAAGTATTTTACTTTCGAATGTACTTTGGAATCGTAGTAATCGGCGCAACACATGGTTTAATCTTTTTACCAGTTTTGCTTAGTTATATTGGTAAGTATATATGTATAATATATATGTGTATGTAACAAACTTAAGGGCGACGAGTTGACTCGATTTAGCCCTGTCCGTCTGTCTGGCCTTCCATCCGTCTGTATATTTAATCGCGTCGATCTCAGAAGATATAAGAGCTACAGACTTGCCATTTTTTCCCTAGGTCCGTGTATATCATCGTATCGAGTTTTTCTTTAAAAATCGATAATTACTCCCGATATTTACCATCGATTAAAATCCTTATCGAAAACTGGTTATAATATCTCATACACCATTGGAGCTAGCGCTCTAAAAGTTTCATTATGATTGTACGCCTAGAAATGAAATTATTCAACAAGTAAAAAAAAAGTTAGCAAAGCGCAGTTTTATACGTGCGCATGCATGGTTATGTATGTATGTGTGCGTAAAAGAAGTGCTGAATGATTAGAATATCAGATTGGAGGGATCAGGATATCTCCTAATCGAGCAGTCTCGACTAGAGTCTTCTTCTAATCTTCTAATCATTTAAATTTTGAATGTAAAAAATTGTAAATAATAAATAAGACTGCGTGGTGCATAGACAAAAAATGCACCCGATTCAGGTTGATTTACTTACAATCTATTTATATAAATTTCTTATTTTCCATTTCTTTAGGTGCACCTAATAGTTCTAGGCTTGAATCTCAAAGCCATGAAAATTGCGATCAGGAAACTTCTTTATCTAGAACTACATAATTTATTTACTCATAAGAATGTTATTAGTTATTTTTGTAAACCCAAATTATTATTATTTTCTAAAAAAAAAAAAGTATGGTATCTGGCTAAGGTGTGATAAATTTTAACCAATATATGTAAATATATATATGTATACATCGCTTTTATTAACATGAAAAACTGTGTATTTAGATTTTGAATAAAGTTTACAATGTACAGCAATATTTAATGTAAAACTATTAGTTTACTTTATTATCTTATTTATTGCTATTTGTCTTACAAATAAAAAGGATAAATGATAAATAAAAGAAATTTGAATTGCTTGCACCTGAATTAACAGGCGTAGCATCAGCACCACCAAAAGTTTGTTGCGGAATAGGCTCCTAGGAACATATTGCAACAGACTTCGCCTCGCTGAATCATTGGCATTCTTGATAGGCGCCCATTACATCACAAAAATAAAGTGACTAGATTAACTGACCCAAAGCTGGAGTTGGGAAAAAACTAAAAATGCAAAAAAGCCTAGCCACCGGCAGCAAGAAACATTTAAAAAAATCCAAATCGACGAGCTGAGTCGATTTAGCCCTGTCCGTTTGTGTGTCCGTCCGCCCGTCCGTATATATGAACGCGTTGATCTCAAAAGATACGCGAGCTAGAGACTTGAATTTTTTTTCCTAGGTCCGTGTTAAGTTCGTACGTCTAGAAATTAAACTATTCAACAAATAATATTCTCATAATATTGGCCACACTGCAGCGCAGTCGCTGCTTACTGCGCAGTTGGCAGAGCGAGTTCTACTACGTGCGTGTTTATGTA